TCTCAGATCTCATAACATACCCATTCAGATCAAGATTCACAAGATTCGGATTAAAAGTGAAGCTTTAATCGAGACTACAAGCTACCAATTTGGTTCGTTTTTAAAGGAATAGATTCGCCATCCGTTTAACCATCTGTACATTTGTCTTAGAAACGGGATTTTAGCTAAACTAATAATGCGCATTGTCCAAATTTTAGCCTTCAAATCAGTGAGTGTCCAGAAAGTTAAAATGACGACTCATCTTTACATGAGACTCCATTGTATATGTGAAATCGATTGGATGGGATTATGAGATTTCCATGCATTTTTAGTAGCTCTGAAGAATATTTACATCTAATTCAACTCCCTTTAATAAGTCAAGGGCAATAAATCCATCTAATCTACAAGAAATGTGGTTGGAAGGAGAGGGGGCGGCAATTGGCCACATTTAAAGGTTTGAATGTAAAACACAAATAATTGTAAAAAATATAAATTTAATACATGTATGTATGTAACAAATATTACAAGGTTCTTAAATAGAGCACTGTTATCTGAAATAAAAAATAAATATATCAATGGTAAGGTTAATATACATCGTCGATTAAACCACACCCCTTGATGATAATCAGATAAGTCAATGTTCTCTTTATCCAAATAACTTAGTATGAAGAATGAGAGGTTGCCCGTATATTCGTGCGTAACGTGTGTGCTTTTATTTACAAAACAAATCGTATATAGACACGTGCTGCAGTACATACCTTATTTTCCCATCATACCGTATCCGCCCATTCCACCGAGCATACCGCCCATCATACCGTATCCGCCCATTCCACCGAGCATACCGAGTCCACCATAACCCATCATCATTGGGTTGTACATACCACCCATCATACCCATACCTCCCATCATACCAAGTCCCCCCATACCTCCCATCATACCAAGTCCTCCCATACCCATCATGTAGGGGTCCATCATACCCATACCTCCCATCATACCCATACCACCCATCATACCCATACCGCCCATCATTGGATTAAAAGCCAGAGTGGTGGCGGCGAAGGTCAAACATAAGGCGATGGTAAAGAGGGTGTTCATCTTGAATTCTGAAAATGAAAAAGAATAAAATCATTATCTACAATTTGAACCAAATACATGATATAAAGTATGACTGCCCGATAACACGTTTGAACTACAAATAAATCTGCATTGACACAACTAGAATCAGTTTGCGCAGCCAAATACCAAAATGTATTCATTAAAATTATTATATCAACTTACTAGTGTCGGCTGGTTGTGATGATGATAGTTTGAAGAACAGAAGATTTGTGATATTTTTACCTTCAATACTGACTGTATTTATACACTAGTTTATAATATATATTATTACAACATCCAATTGAATTAAATAACCTGATTAAAACCATCACTCATTTTTCTCTCAACAATTATTTATTATTCAATTTACTAATTATTCTAAATCTATTTTAAGTAGGGCCACCCTCGGCTGTAAGGAAACAGGATGTAGTTCATATATCAGATACTATATGACGATCAATGGCCTTGATCATGATGTCAATTTACAAAACGAAGACAAAACGTAGGAGAATTAA